TTCATATGTAATGGACAGTTTTGCTGGGTACAGTATTCTTGGTTGACAGTTGTGTTCTCTGAGTGTTTGATATATGCCATTCCATTGTCTTCTTGCTTGCATGGTTTCTGCCGAGAATTTGGCACTTAGTCTTATCTCCTCTCCCTTGTAGATTACTCTTTGTTTCTCTCTCCCTGCTTTCAGAATTCTCTCTTTATCTTTGGTTCTGGTAAATTTGACAATGATGTGCCTTGGTGTTTTTCTTTTAAGGTCTATTCTATATGGTGTTCACTCAGCTTCTTGAATATATATTCCCTCATTCTTCATTATGCCTGGAAAGTTTTCCTCTATTAATTCTTCCACAGCTTTTTGGTGCCTTTACTTGCTTCTTCCTTTTCTGGGATTCCGATGATGCGAATGTTATTTCTTTTGATGGTATCCCACATTATTCTTAGGTTTTCTTCTGTTTCCTTCTTTTTTGATTCTGCTTTTTGTTCATTCAGATCTATAGTGACAATTCTGTCTTCTATTTCACTGATTCTGTCTTCCATATCTTCAACTCTGTGTGTCCCTCCATCATGTTGACAACATTAGAAACCTTAGACCTCATATTTTTGATCATGGTTTCTTATTTTTGCAGTGCTCTAATGCCTCATTTGTTTTATCTGCATTGTTTTGGATTGTTTTTTAAAGCTCCTCCTGTTTTTTCTTATGGTGTCCTGTAATTAATCAAGTTTGTTTTTCATCCATTGAAAATATTAAATCATTGTTCTTTTAAATTCTGTGTCAGACAGTTCCATCAGACTTACTGGCTTCAGGAAATCCATTGCTACTATGTCTTTTCTTTGGGGGGGGGTGATACCTTGCTTTGGGCTTGTGGGGCAAGTGAAGTACCCTGCTTCTTTCGGGACATTGATGTGGTAGAGTTTTTCATGTCTGAGTTGGTAGCTGGTTTTTTATTTGACATCACTTGAGAGCGCTTTCTTAAAGTGCATGTCTATGGAGTAACATGGGGAAGAAACCCACCAAAACAGCCTAGGCAGAGGGCAGGGCGTTTCCTGAACCTGGCCAGTGTTCTGCTGTCCTATTTCCCCTGCATGTCTTGTCACCATAACAAACATTGTGGTGGGACAGCAGCATCTCTCTCAGTCACTTCCCACTCTATGGCAGTCTGCCCTGGGGCCCTCTGTCTTCCCATAGTCCCACTGTCTGAAACAGAACATGTGACTCAATGCCAATTCCATCAACACCCCTGCAGACACACTGGCTCAGATCCACTACATGCTGGGACGTGTTTCCAGAATAAAGTCCAGTGTCACAGACGTGCTTCTGGGCAGAAGTGTCTGCACCCAGGGATCACAGAGTGGCACTCTGAGCATTCTGCTTCCCCTCTTCTGAAGTTTGAGATCTCTAAGCTCGAGCCCCCCCTCCACCACCTGTCCTTCCCCCTCTCTCCTCCAAGTACCTTTTCCCTCTGGGCTGTTGTTGCCTGGGATTCCCTTCTCTCTTCTGAATCTTAGCCATGGACTCCTGTGTCCACTCCTTCCTCTTCTTGGTGGACTAGCCTATCTTCCTGGAATAGTGACTCCCAGAAGTGCAAAAATAAAAGGTGTTGGAGTTGACATTTGTCTGCTAAAATCTTTGTTGCACCCACCTGCTTGGGTTTTCGTAAGTATGGTTATAGAGATTACCCTCATACTTGAATATGCTTGTGAGTGTACAGCTCCATCCCCACACTAGTCTATTTGAAGTAGCAATTATTCTACCTCACACTAGTATAGAGTGTGTGTGTGTGGGGGGGGGAGGTAGAGAATATCTACTCTCAAACTGGGAATAGAGATCATTCAGCTTTCACAATGCAGTATAGACTCTGCGTGGTTATAGTATGTACTCTGTCCTCACAATTGAGTCTTCTCTGCGGATATAGGATTCACTCTGTCCTCACAATTGAGTATTGTCTGTGGGTGTAGGATTCACTCTGCCCTCACACTCGAGTGTCTTCTGTGGGTATAGGATTTGCTCTGTCCTCACACTCGAACGTCGTCTGTGGGTGTAGGATTCACTCTGCCCTCACACTCGAGTGTCTTCTGTGGGTATAGGATTTGCTCTGTCCTCACACTTGAATGTCGTCTGTGGGTGTAGGATTCGCTCTGTCCTCACACTCGAGCGTCATCTGTGGGTGTAGGATTTGCTCTGTCCTCACAGTTGAGCATCGTCTGGTGGCCTGTATCTTCTCTGTGGAAGCATTTTCTCCAGAGCATTTCAATGCTAACCTGTGTGCTCAGGACCTGAGGCTACAGACATGAGCTCTCGTGTCTTCTCTGCACTTCCAGTCTTTTGCACACAGACTTGATGGAGGTGGTTACATGCTGAGGGGCCTGGCCTGATACGAGTGCTGCCTGTCCAGCTGGGCAATGTCTATGCCTTATGCTTTCCCATGAGCCTCACCACACTGTCCTCTGGTCACTGTCATTTCTGGAATCCCCTGCTGGCCACAGTCCCTGCTTGTATGTTTCCAGAGGCTGTGTGCTTACCCCTATGCTATATGCTGGGCCCGTGTTGGTTACCTGTCTCCCAGCTGCCAGGTAGCTTTCCTCCTCCTCTTAACCTGTGATGGCTGAGAACATGCAGCAAGAGAGACCCGGGAGTGGACTTGCACCGTGAGGGCTGTCCCCGAGGCCAAGGGCTGACTGGTGGCCTGTGTCTGTCTTCTCTCCTACTGGGTCCCAGGGAGTGAGTCCCCGTTAACCCCACCTGCACACTTGTCTTGGTTGATCTCACATCCCCAAGCCTGTACAGGTGCTCACATGGCCCTGGGGATGCACTCGCTGACTGCTCCCTGAGGACACATTGGCCTGGGAGCCTGTCTGTGGCCCAGTACGTGGGACACGCACTCTTTCTTCCGGCTGCCAAGAAGCTGGTCACAGGTGCCACTGCAGCCTGTCCTGCGTGCTGGAGGGTGTACTGCTTCCCCGCTGTCATTGGGAAGGAGCCCCTGTGGGTCAGAGCCGTCAGGTCAGCTGTGGCTCCAGGTGACCCCGTGCACGACAGGACACTGCCTGCCCCTCACTGTCCCTGTCGTCCCCACTGTTCTTGCCGTCCCCGATGTCCTCGCTGTCCCCCATGTCCCCGATGTCCTCCCCGTCCCCGATGTCCTCGCCGTCCCCGATGTCCTCGCTGTCCCCCATGTCCTCGCCGTCCCCCATGTCCTCGCCGTCCCCGATGTCCTCCCCGTCCCCAATGTCCTCGCTGTCCCTGCCTGCTCCAGCCCCTAGTTGCCACCATGATGTCGGTGTCGCGCAGCACCTCTTGTTGGGCTTCCTCTCCCTCACTGCCCTGAGCACTGGCCCCTCCTCCCCAGCCCCAGGCTAGGAGCCACAGTCGCACAGCGCACCACGTAGTCTGGTCTGCGTTCTCAGCTGAATCAGATTCGAAGGCCTTGGTTCGCTGCTCGGCGCTCACACCAGCTGTGGGGGTCTCAGGGTGCATGGAGCAGGGATGACAGGGCGCCCCAGTGCTCTGCCTTCCTTGTGCCTGGTGCTCACGCTGGGGCACACAGAGCAGGGACAGGAGGCCTGCCATCTCCCAAGGATTTCCCCCCCTCTTTCCTGCCATCTCTCACACCAGCTTTGAGGACACTCACAAACAGTTGGACGGGCGTGTTTGGGTAGCACCTTTGCATGTTCTGCTAAGTGAACCATTGTTTGTGGCACTTTCGGGTCAGCGATCTCGAGGGAGACGCGGCTGTTATCAAGAGGAGCTCTTGTTTCACACAGAAATGGTGTCAGTGATTAAATTGGAACTTGACCCGGCGCCACCTGGTAGAATCCAGCCCCTGAGAGACAAACCCTTGTGGGGACAGAGGACCAGGCACATAATCCCTGGGACTGTACCCTCGTGTCCTCTCGAGGTGGCACTCGGGTACATCCTCTGGGCCTCTAGGTCCTATCCCCTACATCTCCTTGAATGACCTGATTGAACTTGACTCCCCACTCTCTCCTCCACACTCCATCTCACCCCAATCAGCCCCCACTTTTAGAGTGTCCTGGTGTGTCCCTTGTCACTGGTCAAACTCCACTTCTGGGGTGTCCTGAGGTATCTCTTGTCTCCTTAATTATATGCATGCATGCCCACATGTGTACACATGTGCACACACAGCACTCCTGTGAATGCACAAGTCTGTATGCACACATACACATGAGCACACATGCACACCCAGACTCCTGCTCGTGCACACACATGCATGCACACAGACACACACGCACATGTGCACACACACGTCCAAGTACACACACGCATGCAGGCACAGAGACACATGCATACACATGCATAAGTGCACACACGTGCATGAACACACACATATGTGCTGGTGTACATAGATGCATGAGCACACACACGTGCACACACATGCATGCACACACAACATTCCTGACACGCACACACATGCATGAGTGCACGTAGATATGCTTATGGGTGTATAAGCTCGCAGACATGCAGACACACACCGCACTCCTGTGCCTTCACACACATGCATGAACGCACACACACACACAGAGTCACGTGCGCTCACATCCATCACTCCTGTGCATGCACACACGAGTGTACACACATGCACCATGACACATCCATGTACACACAGCTGCTTCCCATGATCTCTGCACATGCCTCATATCTGCCCCCTCAGCTTACCTGCCCACCCTGGGACTGAAGGAGGGGCGGGGGACAGTGGTAAGTCAGTGGCCTGGGGGGGCCCCTAAGTCACCTGGCCTGAGTGCCCAGCTCCCCCAGCTGTGTGCTCATTGGCAGTAGCAGCCCACATGCCAGGAGGAAGCTCAACACTCCCCTCCTGCACGTGCCCAGCACTGGGCGCTCACCGAGGAGCTTCTGGGCCCGGGCGTATGTTCAGGATGTCTCCTCTGCCTCCTGTCTGACTGAGACCCTGTGGAGACACATGTAGACTCTCTGTGTCCACATCTGAGCCCCCATGTGGACACACTGACCTCTCTCCTCCCCCTCCCAGCAGCATGGCTGACAGCAAGGCCAAACCCACCAAGGCAGCAAACAAGACTCCCCCCAAGTCTCCAGGGGACCCCTCGAGGGCCAAGCGACTCTCACAGGAGTCTGAGGGCACCGCTGAGGGAGCAGTGGGTCCTGAGCTGAGCGCCTTGGAGGAAGCCTTCCGCAAGTTTGCTGTGCACGGGGACACGCGGGCCACGGGCCGCGAGATGCACGGCAAGAACTGGTCCAAGCTGTGCAAGGACTGCCAGGTCATTGATGGCAGGAACGTGACTGTCACTGACGTGGACATCGTCTTCAGCAAAATCAAGTGAGTGCAGGTGGGGCTGCCGCTCCATATCATGTCCCACCCTGGAGCGTCCTGTTGAAGTGTGTGCGCGCAGTGTTCCTGAGTTCTGTGTGTACGTGTGCTGTGTGACTACGTTTGTGTATGCACATGTGTACAGCATGGCTGAGTGCATCGTGCCTGTGTTTGTGCACACACATATGTGCTGTGTGTATGCACGTGTGTGCATGTGGGTAGGTGTATGCACGTGATATGTACCTGTGCATACCTGTGCTGTGTGCAGAGATGTGTGTGCACTCAAAAAACAGACATGGGGAGCACTCCAGGACCAGACATGGGGAACACTTCATGACCTGATGTGGGGAGCATTCCAGGACCCGACGTGGGGAGCACTCCATTAGATGTGGATAACACGCCAGGGCCAGGAGTGGGGAACACTCTTGAGAACAGGTGTGGGAGCATGGCGAGCAGGAGAGAGGAACAGTCAGCCTCCTCTCTCACAGTGGCCTGTGACATTAGTGGCCCTTCCCAGTAGGTCACCCACAGCCTGGTGGGTCAGCCTGAGGAAGCCTCATGATTCTGTGACGGACAGTTAGAGGTCCTGGTGCCCCAGCTCGGCCCACCACGGTGATGGAGCTAAGCCAGTATACACAAGCGGCGGTGATGTGGCCTGCCGGACACACTGGTCCTCAGGCTGCCTGCCTGCCCACCCTCCAGACACACGGGAAGGCGTTGTCAGACTAGGCCTGCTGACCAAGGTCCAGCACGACACCCTGGTTGCAGTCCCTCCAGCCCCACTTAGGACATCCAGGCAAGTGGGGTGGGGACATCTGTCCCATGGCCACAATTTCTTCCAGAGATGCCCACAAGCTTAGACATGCACACATGTAAATGCATTCTGCAGAGTTGCACACACACATACCATCCACATATCCTGCACACACCATCACAGGGCATGTTCACACACACACACACACACACACACACACACACACACACACACACACGAGTTCTAGCGCACAGATGCACATGTGGGCACAAGGCATGTACCACATGTATGCAGACACAGATTCTGACACGTGCATAGGTACAGGGTATGTGCACATACACACACACACACACACACACACACATATACCTGCGCACAGGTTCTCACACATGCATGGATACAGGGTATGTGCACACACAC